AAATTATCAAGACCCACTGAGAGAACTGGTGCCCGAGACCTCACAGATGCTCTGGTTAAACTCTTCACATTGGACACAAAGGGTTGCTAAGGTCCAGAGTGGGAATAACATTTGCATATGGTCATACAGCAAATCATTGTTTTGTGTTTTTAAAATTTTTTCCAGCTTTATTAAGACATAATTGACATATAACATTGGGTAAGCTTAAGGTGTACAATGTGATGATTTGATACATGTATATATTGTGATATGATTACCAAAACAAGGTTAACACATGTATCATCTCACATAATTACAATTGTGTGTGTGTGTGTGTGTGTGTGTGTGATGAAAACTTTTAAGATCTATTCTCTTAGCTGCTTTCAAATATGGAATACCGGATTTGAAACTATGGTTGCCATGGTTGTACATTATATCCCCAGAAGCGTTTCTGTGTTTTTTCAGTGATGATATACAAAGGACCGACAAGCATATGAAAAGACACTCAACATTACTAATCATTAGAGAAATGCAAGTCAGAACCACAATGAGATCCCTCCATGCCCATTAGGATGATTACTATAAAAACGAAACAACACCACCAGAAAATAGCACAGGTTGGTGGAGAAAGTGGAAGGCTTGTGCACTGTTGGTGGGGATGTGAAATGGTAAAACCATGGAAAACAGGATGGTGGTTCCTCAGAAAATTAAACAGAATTACCATATGACCCAGCAATTCCACTTCTGGGTATATACCCCCCAAAATGGAAACAGAGTCTCAAAGAGATATTTGTATCCCTATGTTCATGGCTGCATTATTCACAGTAGCTACACGTGGAAGCAACCTAAGTGCCTGATGAGTGGAATGGCAAAATGTGGTGTATACACACAATGGAATATTATTCAGCCTTTAAAAGGAAGGGGATTTTGCACTATGCTATAATATGAATGAACCTTGAAGACATTATGCTAAGTGAAGTAAGTCACAGAAAGACAAATTCTGCATGATTTCTATGACGTCAGTGAGATACCTAGGTGAGTCAAAATCACAGGGAGAGAATGGTGGTTGCCAGAGGGAGGCAGGAGGGGGCAGGAGTTTAAATTTTGTGAGATGAAGAGCTCTGGAGATGGATGGGGCTATGGTTGCACAATATTATTCAATACCACTGAACTGTGCACTTAAAATGGCTAAGATCATAAATCTGTTATATGCATTTTCTCACAATAAAAAAATTTTACTTATACAGAGAGTACATAAGTACATCCTTGCTGTAAAAAGTCAAACAATATAGACCAAACTAAAGTCTTCCTGGACAACCTCCCCATCTGAATATACAGCTTTGTACCCATGTGTCTTATTTACTCCTCACGCCCCCGTATGATTTAAGTATTACTATGATTTCCATTTTCCAGACAAGGAAACTGAACTGCAGAGAAGTTAGGGACCTTTCCCAGAGCCAGGAAGTGCTCGAGTCTAGATTTAAACTCAGGCAAATGGAGGAAAAGGCCAGGCTCTCACCCAGTGCCCTCTCGGCCTCCTGCATGTCCAACTGCGCTGGACACGGAGGACATAAGGGACTCCCAGTCCAACAGAGTGGGCAGACGCAAAGAAAATTACTCTAGCCCCACATAGAGATGCAAAAGTAAAACTGATGACATCTACACAGCAGAGGCTACTTATCCTTCTGTCCCAAAGGACAGGTGCTTTTATGAGATGTTACATTTTGTAAAAAGATGAAATCATAGGTACACCTTTAGCCCTCTTTGTTATTTAGGTCTCAGCACAAATGTCTTCTTCTCAGAGAGCCCTTTCCAACTCACCCTGGCGAAAACTGCCCTCCACCCTCCACCAGTCACCCTCACCCCCCTCACTGCATTGTCTTCATTGTGCATTTCCTTACCTGCTATTCTCCTGTTCTTTGTCTGTCTTCTTTCACTAGAATGTCAGCTCTCTAGGAGCAGGGAGCCTATCTAGTCCGTTCACCGTGAATCTCCTGGGCCTAGAACAGTGCCTGGCACTTAGTAGTTGGCTGTGTTAGTTTCCAAGGGCCGCCATAACAACATACCACAAACTGGAGGGCTTAAAACAACAGACATTTATTTTTTTTTCACTGTCCTGGAACTAGCAATCTGAAATCACGGTGTTGGCAGGACCAAGCTCTCTCTGAAGGTTCTGGGGAAGACTCCTTCCTTTTCTCATTCTTTCTCCTTGGTTTGTAGCTGCATCTCTCTGGTTTTTCTACTACTGTCGTCCCCTGACCTTCTCCCTCTGTGTCTCTGTTTCGAAATCTCCATTTTCATAAGGACCAGTCATTAGATTTAGAGTCCACCCTAATCCAGTACGATCTCATCTTAGCTTGATTACATCTACCAAGACCCCATTTCCAAATAAAATAACATTCACAGATACCAAGGATTAGGACTTTAACAAATTTTTGGGGGGCGGACACAATTTGACCCACAAGAGTAGCTAATAAATATATTGAATATATTGAAATGATTTAGTGTTCTCTGAAAAACTGCTATAATATTATGAACTCTCAAATGAGTTCAGGCAAAGGCTTTGGAAGATATCATTCTGCCTAGGTTTTGTGATGATCAAACAGTACATAAAATGTCTTTTACTGGCTATAGTAACTAGAGTGTCCAGGTCAAGGGAAATAATGGCTCCAATGTTCTAGGCACAGATTCAACCTCAGGTGGGATATGAAATTTTAGGTGCCACATTCTCAGTGTTCTTACATATTTAATTTGTGAGAGCAATTTAATGGCATTATAAAGTTTGGACAAGAAAATCAACCATAATCCCACTACCCTAACATACTTTGGGGAAAATTCAAGAGGGGAACTTTCCAGGTAGAAGAAACAGCAACTACAAAAGCCTTGAGGCATCCATGAGCTTGGTGTGTTCAAGGAGCAGAGAAGGCAGTGCAGCTGGGGGGTAGCAGTGGTCCACAGGATGATCCAAGCCTCTTACTGGACATCTTTGTGGGTGTCCATCCAGCTCACAAGTCAGCAACCTTCCATTATCTGCTAATTGTCCTCCAAACACCTTACCTTCCACAGCCCTTCTGTAAGCACACCAACCCACGAGGAGGATGTGGTGTGGACCTGGTGTGCGTGAAGAGGGGAGGGGATGATGGATACAATTGGGTCCTCTCTCCAGAGCATTTGGAATTGGGACAGGATAAGGGTTGAGCAGTCTCTGGAAAGTTCTGTGACCCTGGAAGCTGTGAGAAAGGTGCTGTGTTCTCCACTTCAGCCAGACGCAGAGGAGGGAGGTCAATTGGAAGAGCAACAGGGAATCAGAGCTGAGTCAACAGTCAGCTTCCTGGTGCATCCATCCTGACATCCAGCAGCATTCCTGCCTCAAGTTTCAGGGCACTTGCCGATATTCCTATCATACATTCTCAGTTCTTTAGCATAAGTTGATTTGGGTCAACCAATAAGAGAAGCGTTTTGAGTAAAAGAATTCTGTGGTCAAATTATTTGGGTAACAGTGAGTTAAATAAAATTTAACAGTTTTCTATCTGCAGGACTTCTCAGAGCCTTTAATAGGATTGTGTACAACCAAAAAGGAGCTCTCCAAAAACAAAACAAAACAAAAAACCCTCAAGTGAGCCGCATTTCCTACACTGATTTCCCAGGTTACACTGGGAAAGACTGTAACAGTGTTTAAGCTGGGAGGTTTTCAGCTTCCATTTTGGTTGAGTCCTGGAAGGTTGAGAATGATAGAGGAGGGCCCAACTATTCTGACCACCAGGAACAAGCCCGTTATTGAAAACACTCATTGCAGCGAGTAATTTTATCCAATAGAGAAGGATAAGGCCAGAGAAGAGCAACACCTGAAGGGACAGAGAGAAAGAATATAGTTATCTTCTGGTTGTTGTCCATTGGGTCCACCCTTTCAGTGAAATTCCTGAAAGCTCAGAATCATTCCAGTACATTTGTCAACTCCAGAACCACTTTCCAGTAATGGATGTGCTCACTCATGCAAGCCGCCTAAAATGTATGCCCATCCACAAGATGATTTATGTCTGAATGTGGAGACTGAGACTCCCCTGCTCGGATAACTCAGAAAAGGATTAGATAGAAGCTATAGGCTTCACAACTGACCCCCAAGCACCCTAGGGCTTGCCCTTCATCTCTCCTGTGTCCACCTGTCACCTGCTGTGTTGGGCACCCCAGAGACTAGCAGGACGGCCTGGCCACCCCCACCTGGGAACTCCGAGTCTGATGATGCAGGGAATTAAGATCCAAACTGACAACCGACAGAGAGTGGGGAATGCGGGGCAGAGGGCATTGCGGGGAACAAAAGGAACCCTGGGCTTGGCTAGGTTGGGTTGGGGGCCAGGTCTAAGCTTTATGAGATGCCAGAGGAGGGGGCAGAGATGCCCGGCTCTAGGGGCCAGTCAGGCCCACCCTTGGGTGGGGAGGCCCGACGAGCTGGTCCGTGGAGGGCCTCGAACGCCCAGCTAACAACCCATACTAGACTGCCTATTGTAGACTGGGTGTAGGAAACAGGTTTTATGTGATGTTTATCCATGACAAGCCATTTGTCCACATGCCTCGCTGAGTCATACACCGCCCGGGGCGACACGTAATCCAACTAGTGCTCTACCGGGACGTTGCAACTGCGCCCTCCTCTGACGCCTGCGCGCGACGTTGGGGTCGAAGGGCACCCACGCCCGCTTGCTCCTCTGCAGAAACCCCGCAGCCGCCCCACCCACGACCTGACCCCGCCCCCTTCCCTGGGCCCGCCCCTGGGGGCGGAGACGTCGGCAGCGGCGAGCCTGGCCAGGGGAAGAGCGCGGCACCAGCGCCCAGCGTCTGCAGACTACGCGCCCTAGTGCGAGGCGCTCCTACGGCTGAGCGCCTAGACCGCACGGGCGAGTCCCGCAGGGCAGGGGCGGCGCGGTGCCCGGGTTCTCACACTTGGCGGACCGATGTGCCCGGGTGTCGGGGCGCGTGGACCTGGGCTCGGGTGAAGCTCTGGCAAAGGGCAACACGGCGGCGACGAGATGCAAGCGGAGGAGCCCTGCGCCCCCGGCGCCCCTGGTGCCCCGAGAAGCCAGCGCGCACCCAGTCCCGAGCCGCGCCTGTCCAGCCAGCTGCTGCCCGAACTCTACACCTTCGTGGCGCGAGTGCTGTTCTACCTGGCTCCCGTCTACCTGGCCGGCTACCTGGGGCTCAGCATAACCTGGCTGCTGCTCGGCGCTCTGCTGTGGATGTGGTGGCGCAGGAACCGCCGCGGGAAGCTTGGGCGACTGGCGGCCGCCTTCGAATTCCTAGACAACGAACGCCAGTTCATTAGCCGCGAGCTGCGGGACCAGCACCTGCCGGCCTGGGTGAGCTGGGCCGAGCCGGGCAGCGGTCGGAGGTGGGGCGGATGCTCTTAGAGGTTTGGAAAAAACCTGCGGTCGGCCAGGGAGCTGGGGGCGGCAGCTCCGCGATCCGCACACCTGATGCCCCACCAAGCCCGGAGCACAGACCCCTGGCCGCGGCGTCCCTCAGTCTCCCCCCACCGCCGGTCCGGGTGGGGGGGACTTAGGTTTCACTTAAGGGCCCAGAGCCTGGGAGAAAAGTCACGGGCGGGCCACACCCAGGAAAAAAAAAAAAACAAAAACAAGGGCGTCTGGGACTTTGCAAAGTTACTCAGGAGGGAAGCAGAAGGCCTTCCACCCGCCTGTTGATTCAAAGAAAGAACGCTCGGTGCAAAATTGATCCGCAAGTGCAGCAGTGACAGAAACTGCAGACTAGTTGCCTCAGCAGAGGTCCGGACAGACAGAGGAGGGCCAAGAAGGGGCCGGGATTGAAGGGATGGGGTGGGAGGCTGGGTCACCAGCTTCTCTCCCTCCCTCTGCCTGGTAGGGATGCTCAGACGTGCCCAGACACATTCACACTGCACAACTACAGACCCATCTCCTGGTGTGGAATGGCCTGGACTAGGGTTTCTCAAATGCTTCCGGTCCTGAGAATCACCTGGCCCACTTAACAAAAACAAGTTCTGAGCCCACCTCACAACTCCCAGGTGGGACTGAGGCACCTGGGTGAATTTGGGAAACACGGGCAACAGGGGCATTGGGTCCAAGCTTTGGTCTGGTCTGTGGCAAAACTACGCTTCTGGGTGCTTCTCTGATTCTTCCAGATATGCTCAGGCCCACAGGGAGAGATGACCAGAAGCCACCAGACCCCTCATTTCCTCTGGCCTGGGGCCTTTATTCTAAAATTCAGCCCCACCCTGACAGTAGCCAGCAAAATGAGATGTGCGAGGAACATATTAGAAGGTCCTGTTTATATTTATCTTTAAAACGAGAGAAATTAAGCCTTACTATATTAGTTTGCTATGGTTGCTATAACAAAATACCACAGACACAGACAACAGAAGTTCATCAAGATCAAGGTGTCAGCATGGTTTGCTTCTTCTGAGGCTTCTCTTTGGTTTGTAGATGGCTGTCTCCACCATGTCTTCATATGGTCTTCCCTCTGTAGATATCTGTGTCCAAAGGTCACCAGATTGGGTTAGGGCCCATCCTAATGACCTTATTTTAACTTAATCACCTATTTAAAGGCCTTGTTTCTAAAAACAGTCACATTCTGGGTTACTGCGGGTTAGGATTTCAACAAACCAGTTTGGGGACTATGGTTCACTTCGTAACACTGATATTTAATATATGGATTGACAGTACAGTTTTGTAAATTGGTTTACATATATTGAGGATGAGGGGGCCCAAACTTTCTGCTAAGGGTGCACAATAAAAAAGCACAGTGACAACTTTCCTAGGATAGCAGCCATGGGAACAGTATTTGGGGCCAATCTCCCAAACTTGGTTATCCTGATTATTCTTTGGGGGCTTGTGATCCTGAAAGATCTGGATCCAGAGAGCAGGCCTGGACCTATCCACACTCCTTGCTCATTGTTGAAGGAGTCTTGGATGCCTGTCAGACCTCTGTTGGGACCCCATGGTGGCTTCAACCCATGAGGGTGAACTTATAAGGCCTCACCAAGTGACAGGCCTCCCTTTCTGCCCTTTCTTGGATTAGGGAACACCTCTAGACACTTAGTTGTGTACAAAAGGCAGTGTTTCTGAAATTGAGGCAAGGATCAGATGCTGTAGGAGCTTTGACACGCCCCAACCATCACCACCTGCCCCCATGCTCATAAACACCAGAAGCAATGTGAAACTAGCCAACAGGGAGCTCAGCCTGATGGGTGAGACAACACAAGAAGCTATCTCACCTCATAAGACAGACCCCAGGCCTGACCCAGCTGGGCATAGGGACACACAGAGGAAGGTGATGGTGTCTCTCCTACCAAGAGGGCAGTCTGGGGCAGGAAGTAGATGCATATAGGTAATTGCCATGGAGGTCTCAGAGAAGCCAGAGATAGGAGTCTGGACAGAGTCCAGGCAAGGGTCAAAAGTGTGAAGGACATCCCACTTGATTGCCATAGCAGAGTGTCCCAGGCCATAGCCTCCTTCTTCCTTGCCAGAGTTCTGGGAGGGGCCTGGCCTCAGCTTGCGTTCTCCAGACTCTCCTGGCTGGTGGGCCGGGCCTGGATTGCCTTTTGGGTTGAGGCAGTGGTGCTGCAAAGGGCATTCCAAGCTGGGGGTGGCTTTTGAGCACAGTGGCCAGTATACGAGGGAGCCCACGTGGTTGGTTTGGTTTGGCTGAAGTGTGTAGTAGGAGCTGGTGGACAGGGGCCACACTGAGGCGGGCTTGATGGAGGTTGGGCCTGATTCTGAAGGCCACAAGGAGCCTGTGGAAGGCTTTGGAAAGACCCTGTAAAAAGCAGCGTGGGCGGGGGGCGGGGGGAGGAATGAAGCTGGAGAAGAGAGACCAGATGAGAAATTGATTTAAGCCAAGATGATGGTAGCGGGGTCGGAGGAGAGGGACGAGAGACGTGCAAGAGTGGGACTCTGGAGACTTGGTGGCCTCTAGATTAGTGTGAGGGAGGGATCCAGGAATCTTCCAGGGTGTTTTCTGATCTGGAGAGCTGGGCATCCAGAATGAGAAGCAGGTCTGGGAGATTGGTGGTGGGAACGCCTGTGTAGAGTGAGTAACTAGATGCAAGTGTGGGCTTTTCGCCCTGCCTGGTGGAAGTTGCCGAGCCTGGGGATGATGTAGAAAACCTGGAAGCTACTTGTTTGAATATTCTCCTGTCTTGTCCCTGTCTTCCGAGGAACACATTCGGAGCCATGGCTCTGGGTATGGCGGGGGCAGCGTGCCCCTTGTCCACGACTTTAGAGCATGGGTGTCTTTAACCCTATATGTGGGCCTTTCAGCATGCCTATTTCCCTGTTTGAGAACTGCTTTCCTTGCAAGGAAGTGGGGTCGATGACTTATGACCTCCTTGGTCTCAAGAAATATTTTTACAAAATAACAGATCGCAAACCCATAGTTGGGGCAGGGGTTGAAGAAGAGTTGAGGGTCTTGGCTACCGCACTCAGGCACAGTCCCACAAGTCATCCCTTGCACGGCAGCACCCAGTGAGGGGGATGTGGGGAACGCAGTCCGCATGCTGCTTGGAAAGGTCATCTTGTTCTACTTTGCACCAAGCCCCCGTGACGGGGTGGAGGCCCAGGCCAGGCTGAGCTGGAACAAGCCTCCCCTGCCAGGCCATGGTGGCCATGGCTAGTTCTCAATGAAGCCAAGGCTCCTTCTCAACACATTGCTCCCAGCTGCTGCCCCCAGGTGATCTTAGAGAGTCCTTTCCCTCTCTGGGCCTCAGTGTCCCCACCTGTGAAAGGCAGTTGTTTCTGGTCAAACCTCACACAGCCCTGCCCCTCCTCTGGTTCCCTTCTGTGCAAGAGCTAGCTGGAAGAAAGGATGCCTCTGCTTTAAAAGGGGTCAGGAGTATAGAAGCCGTGGATTCTCCTGCGGTGTGAACGTGGCCTGGCCACTTGGTGAGAGCGGGCCACACTGCCTCCACTGCTCGTGCTCTGAGCAAGGAGCCACTGCCACTCGCTGTTCATGTGCAAATGTGTGTGTGTGTGAATGGTTTGTGATAGACTTTTACATAGATCTTGCACACAGTTTTTAGATCTATTTTTCAAGGAACGAAGAGCCTTTTCCATGAGCCCACCCTGCCGGGGCTGGGGACTGGGGACAGCACAGTGCTGAAAGTGGAGTCCTTGCTGCCGCCGAGCTGGAGAAACCCCAGCTCCGCCATCCCATCTCACCACAGGCCTGGCAGGGTCTGTTCTGCAGGCAGTGGCGGCCGCGGCTGCAGAGCTGTCCACAGGGAGCAGGCGCGGGTGCGCTCAGGGGGCCTGGATTCTCAGTCTCCCACGCCTCCTAATGCTACCTTTCCCCAGTATGACACTCATCACCAAGGGTCTCGCCAGCAAACACATCTGTCTGTGGCCCCAGCTCTAGCCGGGCTTGCTCTCTTGCCTGCTGATAGCAATCAGTTGGCAGCGTTGTTGGGGACAATTAACCCTGTGTATCTGCTGGGATGGGGGTGGGGGCTGATGTGATGTGGTGGCAGGTACAGACTTGGAGTCTGATGCTCAGTCACGGGTGGGGGGGCCCTTGAGAAGGGCCCCTGTGTCCCCTGGGCCCCTGATTCCCCTCTGAAAATGGCGAGGCTTTAGGAGACGCTCTGTGGAGTCATTTTAGCTTTTGGTCTGCCATCATGAGTCGGTCCCAAGTTGGCTTTTCTGTAGTGCCGCGGGCCCACAGGACCCTGTTCAGCAGCATTTCTTGCCTACCTGTCATCTAACTGGGTGCACCTTGGAGTAATCAGCTAGGCAAGCACCAGGGAGAAATGAATTGTTTACACAAAGCAGGGAGCACTCCTGGGCTCCCAGTGGTGTCCCTGGGATGGTCCCCTCCAAGCCTCCCTGCCAGCATTCAGGCCGAGGACCAGGGTTGAGTACGTTGCTTTCCTGGGGCTGAGTTTGACATTCCTTCTGTGGGTGGAGCAGTAGTCTGTCAGGGCCCAGGCTCTCCTGATCTGTCCGGTACTGACACTTTTGTTAATTAGAGGAAGTAACTGCAATGACAGCTCTGAGCTGGGCTGGCCACTCCCATTAGCTCAGTTCTCGACGCCCGTGCCGTGGGACCTGGTCTTAAACATCTGCTTGGAGTGAGGGGACTTCTTACTTGTGAGGTCACTGCAGCCCTGTGAGGTCATGCGTATGGCTTGGAGTCAGGCTTGTCCTTGGGAAGGAAGAGGCACAGCATGTTTTAGTCATGCCCCTTGGGTGTCTGTCCCGCATCTTAGTGATGCTTCATGGACTGATCCTGTCTTGGGCCAGGATTGGGCAAGAAGAGGGACAGAATGTGGGCGTCCGCCCCTCCAGGCCCAACGCAGGGATCTTAGGCATCTGTGCGTTCATTGCTA